ACGAGATAGCGTCGGTGAATGGTGACAAAACTAGACTTCACTTTATGTCAGCTTTCTTAAGTGCTTGGTGTCCCAGGTAAAAGTAAACCGACGATTTTCTCAACAGCGGTAAGTGTGTTCACTGCACAATCGAGACTGTGCTAGCATTCGATTGCCAATTCAGTGGCGAAACACAACCAGCGACGGTGACAGTGATCAGAGATACCACAGCCGTCAAATCCTGACAACAAAAGATGCTCCAGGTGGCCCCTGTGCGGTCCAGGATGCACAGTAGCCAAGCATGATGCAGGTGGTCGGCTGTCTGTCTGACCTTGTCGACGATGATGTGACACCTCAAGTCTGAGGGTTCCCTTGACCGCTTCAGGCCCGCTAGCCTGACCACGTGGGCATGGTTCTTGAGGAAACTCATGAGTCATAGCATGGTTCTCGAGGAAACTCATAGCATGAAGTCCGGGGCGACAGGTCGGGGAAGTTTTAAGCTGATGTCGGGCTCCGGGAAATGGGCATCAGCCCGTGCCGTGCGCAGTGCCACCCCGTCCTGTTGGAGCCCCTCTTTGTCCTGATCAATCAAGAAAAGTTACCGCAAGGACACCTAGAAGGCTGTGAGAGAGGTTGCGATGTAGCGCTCTGGGAAGGTATTTGGGGACTGCCGTCCTCTTCCCGCCAAAAAGAGCATTTTCGGTCGAGTTAAGACTTGACGAACGTGAGTTTAAAGCATGAGGTGCCTACGGTTTTTGTGCTCGGGCCGACTTTCATGAACAAAGCTGCCTTTCCTTGTTTACAGCTGGTCGATTTACCAATATATTTTCTGTGATTTCACTCCAATTTAAGCTTTTCAAAAATGCAGGTGCACGTTTGCTTAAAATTGGAAATTCCGCAGCAGCAAAACAAGTTTGGAATCTACCAAAAGCTAAAAACAAAGCTAAATCCTATTTTGGCATCGTAGACGCAACTTAAAGCAGCTGAAACCAAGGGAGAAATCGCGCTTTGGGGGTGAGATGGGTCAACGTTGTCGGGCCCTATTCTGGACCATTGGGCTCCTTTTATTTGTCAGAAGGCCGCTGCTCCGGATCACGATGCCCGGCTTTTCAGGGTAATCAGGCCCTTTGCCGAGTCCCTTTTGTAATCGGAATATCCCATTTTCGAGAAAACTTTTCTATACGTTATAAGGTCTTGTTATGTAACAGGAGGCTTTGTCCGTTTGCTGTTCACTGTTGGCTCCCGGTATTACTCAGAAGATCCCCGTTCAATGTTTTCTAATTGTCCACATTTTACCACACGAATATTGGATACAGATGATAAAAGTTGTATTACAGGGCAAATTCCGCGGAGTCATCCTGAGACGACACTGCTCAGGAGGCTCTCTTATGAGGAGCCCGTTTCGATCCAGGAGGCCGCCTGAAAAGGTCTGCCGGCTCAACATTTGTGTAAGTTGTTAAGTACATTTGCGAAGGGCTGTAGACAGTAGCACTAGCCTTATTCCCCGGAGAAAAAAAAACAGGAGAATGAAGATACAGATGCGTTGAAATTTCACCAACATGCCTTTATCGACACAACATCAGAAACAACACTCTTCCTGTTGTTTCGAAAAAGGTATGGTGCCGAGATATCAGCGCATCTATATCTCAATTTTCCTGGTTTTTCTGCGGACAATAAGGCTATTACTACTGTCTTATCAAGCTTAAAAGTTGACCGAAATAGATGGATGTGTCTGCTAACCCTCCACATGCATCGCGCTCAGCCACGCTCGTAATTTGTAGCTCATTTATGGATGTAATTCTGCCCGTGATATATGCTAGTAATTTCAAATCAATATTCTGCCGTGTCCCCCTTAACTTTGTTCAACATAATTTAAAGTTCTAGTACAGACTATTCAATGCAAACGACACGTATACACGGTATCTCCTTGCAGTGAATGTGCGCAGCAACATCACCACGTAACCGTGATTAAACACAACGGGCTGCGGAACGATACATTGTGCCCGGCCTGGTTTCTAATCGTTCTCATCTCCCTTTCATCAATACGATCACCGGTCTTACGGAGACGCAGGCTGGGGTCATGTGATAAGCCGCATGGACGGAGGGCGGTGACGACTCCACCCCTCGTTCAGTGGGCGCTGAGTATGGTAGAAATCATTTGGTCGGACGTGGATCTGACGAATGCCTCGTCTGGGAATGTCCCCAGCCTCCGCGAGCCTCACGTAGACAGCGCTCGCCTTTCCGTCTCGGTATGCTGGCCTCCTTTCGTAGAAATCTGTCGCATCGGCGCTGAACTAACGTCTCTATTCAGCGCCTCTCACCGACTATCCGCACGTGACTGGAAACTCAGCTGCATCCTAGGAAGTCGCTGGATGTCCTGTACGTAGGTTGTGGCGAGGAGGCTGATGTCTTTATATATATATATATATATATATATATATATATATATATATATATGTGTGTGGTGTGTGTGTGTGTGGTGTGTGTGGTGTGCGTGGGGTGGTTGTGTGTGCGTGTGTGCAGGTGTGTGTGGTGTCTGTCTCACTCCCTCGTGTTCGACTCACGCTTTCTTATCT